AGAAACTTTCAAAAAACCATTTGGCAGAATAGTAACTGTGTTGGGTGGAGATTTTCGTCAAATACTTCCAGTTATACCCAAAGGTACTAGATTTGAAATTGTCGATGTATCTATAAATTCATCACCTTTGTGGAAAAAATGCAAGGTACTAAAGCTGACCAAGAATATGCGACTAAGGCAAGGTGTTGATAGCAGCCAAAATAACGATATCAAGAAATTCTTTTGATTGGTTACTTAATATTAGCGAAGGAAAGGCAGGTTGTCCTAACAGCGGAGAAGTAGAACTCGAAATTTCATCTGATCTCCTTATAGAACAAACTGGTACTCATGTGGCCTCCATCTGCAATGCTATTTATCCAAGCATTTTGTCCAACTTGGAAGTCAAAGATTTTTTCAATGAAAGAGCTATCTTGGCACCTACGAATGATGAGGTTGATGCTATTAATGATCACATTTTGTCACTCCTAGCTGGTGAAGCAACGGTTTATTATAGTTCAGATTGCATAGATATGACTGCAAGGTCAGTTAACCTGGATGATGATGAAGTTTATAAAACCGAGTTCCTCTACTCCATAAAATGTTCAGGAATGCCAAACCATAAAATAATCCTAAAAGTCGGAGTCCCAATAATGCTTCTTCGAAATCTTGATCAACCAGGAGGATTATGTAATGGTACAAGGCTACAAGTCAATGATTTGAGACAACGGGTTATTCAGACGACAATCATATCAGGAGCTAAATATTGGGAAAAAAGCTTTCATTCGACGTATGGATATTAGTCCCAGTGATGAGAGGATTCCAATTAAACTAAAGAGGAGGCAATTTCCAGTAGTTGCATGCTTTGCTATAACAATCAATAAGAGTCAGGGACAGTCACTTTCTGCAGCCGGATTGTTTTTGCGTCGTCCAGTTTTTACTCATGGGCAACTGTATGTTGCTTTTTCAAGAGTAAAATCAAGAAAAGGTCTTAAAATCCTTATTTGTACCAAGGATGGGGAATTCCACAATCGGACAACAAATGTGGTTTACAAAGAAATCCTGGAAAATATATAATTCCTGATTTGAAACTTTTTATAATTTTTGACTATTTCCGATACATTTTATATTAATGGCACAAATGATTTATTTTGGCGTATGGCACGAATGCTTTATATTTTTACTAGTGATGTCTGGTCGCGCAATGCGCGACTCTGGCCCAGTCTATCTGTAAATCTTAAAAATGTTTATATTTGAAAAAAAATAAAATTTTGTATTTGGAGCGATATATTTTAGAAATGTTTGAAGGATTTAGAAATGTTTTATAAGTGTGATCATAGAAATAATTGTATTTCACAAAAAAAAAAAGAAATTGTATTTCGCCATGTAAGTTATAGATATATTTTATAAGTGTTACTTATTAAATATAAATAGCCTTAATCGAATATATGTATTGAAGTAAATGTTAGATAAAATATAAAAGCATCCTAATAAATTTAAATATTAGTAAGATGATTTATTGATGTTCGGTCGTGCCAAATCAATACTTAGTTTTGGAGATTTTTAATAGCTTTGTAATAAGCTTTATTCGCAGTGTATACGCTTAAAACAAAATTGACACTTTGTAACAAAAACCTAATTGATCAATTTAACTTAAAAAAACCACTCTAAATGAATGAAACATAAAGAAAAATTTTTTTTAAAAAAAACGTGTCACGTAAAGTGCAAAGGGAGATTTATTAATTTAGTTATGGTTTAGACAAAAGGGCAATTTAGTACTTTCTATATGCCACGTGGCAATCATACGAGGTGTTTGAAAGGGAGGTTTTTGTTTCTAATATAATATGATATACTTTTACTTGTGTCCGGTTATCTTAATTATATGCAAAGCTATCATTTATTATACACTTTCTTTTATATTTTTATATGTTTAATTAAGTCCTCATATTTAACGTAAAAAATAAGAAAAATTTTATTCTACTTTGATCACCGTGCAACGCACGGGTAAAACACTAGTTCAATAAAATCCACTAAACAAGTAAGGTTAATCATTCAGCCCATATGCAAATTCAATCAGACCAAACAAATATACTCATAACAAATCGTTTCCACTCAATTCTATATGCTCACTCCCAATATATGGATACCGATTCAATTCTTAAACAATTACGGGTCACAATTAAATCAGAAAATAAAAAAAGAAAAGAAATAAAAATCACTAATAAGAAAGAACTGACCTAACGATATGATCTAGGTCATCGTCAACGCCGCTAAAAAGTCCTCGATGAAGGATGTCAAATTAACACCTCTGTGTTCTCCGATTATGCGTCGTCACTGGGCCTCGATCACCGGTCACCGGTCACCGGCTCTGTGTTCTCAGCCATAGCCAATTTCAGCCGATTTCTTTTGGTATCGCGAGAGACTATGAAAAGCCGTCGGGAAGAAAAGGACAAAGAAAGAAGCGGAAGTAGAATGGACTCAATCAATGGAGAGAAACAGGCGGTGGGAGGACGCTGCTGAAAGTTTTGATTTCATTTATACCCTCAACCAATGTTTGCAAGATCGCGAGATAATAAAAAAAAAATAGGATCGAAATAGGATCATGGGATCGGATTATATAATTAATTGCTTTAATAATTAGGTTTTAATTATCCTTAAATAAAGTATTTAACATTTAAACAAAAAATTGTATAAATTCAATTTTTCACTTGTGAATTTTTTCATAACTTTTTAATAAAAACTCTTCTTTTATAGTTATTCTTTTCATTTTATTAGAAAAATTTTCTAAAATACATTTTTTTTAACAATTAAAGTTTCCTCAATGAAAATTAGTCGCAATTGAATGTAGACAAAAAAAAAATTAAAAAAAAAAGAAAAATCTCAATAAGCTCTATTAATTTTTTTTATAATTAATGAATAGTAAACTTGAATCGATCCTACGATCCTGACCGATCATATACAATCATAGCCGATCCTGACCGATCCCACTGTAAAATTCAAGTTTGATCGATGCAATATCGATTTAGGTACCTGGGATCGTAGGATCGAACAATCCTACGATCCAGGATCGTGATTTTGCAATCTATGCCCTCAACCAAATGACGTTCTAAACCCATCACTTAATAGGAACGGTGTCGTTTTACCCGCCCAATTGCTTTTTCAGTCAAGGGGTTTATATTTTAAAAAACAGAGAAAGAAGAAAATCCAATTGACGGATTTAGCCCCACTTGAATCGTGACGGTGAAATTGGTTTAAGCCGTTGAATTGAACCCTATCAACGGTCCTAATTTAATTGGCAGATTTATTGACCAATGGGATTACTCAATTTTTTTATGAGCCAATCACGTCCTTCAAATTGAACTTAAAAGACTCCTGACCAATCAGATTCGAGATTTCAAACTCTAACAGAGACTTTCATTTTAAGGAGAGATTAGAATTACCTACATAAGTCATATTAAAAATACCCCATTCTTTTGTGAACTAATCATAACAAAATTTAGTTAATTTAAATTGATGTAAATTGAAATTGCACTATAAATGAAATAGCTTAAAAATCAGATCAAGAGAATTTTTTTTTTAAAAAAAATGACTTATAATAAGTCAGGATGAAGTATTTAATTTGGATTTCAGATTGCCAACTTGAACCCCACTTGTGAAAGTCCACTTTCTTGTTCTTCCCATACCTTTCACGGTCGGAAAGTTCTACATGGATCCAGTCCGGCGGTCCCAATCGACATCACCTTCGTGCACCAATAATACTAAACAAAATTAACGTACGTAGTTTAAATATATTTGCAACATTTGGTAATTATATTGAATTTCGGCGAGAATATATTATCGAAGAAAGTGGGTAATAATAGTAATAAAAATAGTTGAAATGTAATTTTTAAAAATGATGTGTTAAGGACGAAGGAATTAAACATTAATTCTTCATTATTTATTTTTTATAGAATACTATTAAATCAAATGCTTTTAATCATTGCCTGCACGTTACTCTTTATATTCAAAAAGAAAAGAAACGAAAAACCGAGGGAATTTTTAATCTACAAGTTAACTTTCATGATTTTTATAACTCATGAGTAAGATATGTATGACAATGTATATACTAAGATATCTTCCATTTCCCTTTTAAGCTTTTCATTTTCCATCCTTTATTTTCCTGTTTAATTTTTTTTTCTTCTACTGTTGTACATAGCTATTTTCTTGGTGAACTCAACATAGATGGATAAAGTATGGCAGGAAATGGTGTTTTGTTTACAAAATTTTTTACGACGAAGATATTAGATTGCATCGACAAAAAATTATTCTCCAAACTTCTGTTGCAATAACAATTTTCTAACATGAATTTTTAACAATCTTATTACGAAGTAAGCATAAAAAATTATTATTCTAATTGATGAAGATTCGAGTCAGATTAACTTCGTTCAAGTTTCAACATTTCAGGAGCTCAGTTAACTTGCAAAATACGGAGTCTGAAGTATGAACCCGCGCGCAGTAATTTTTATAGTTCCAAATTAAGGGTTGTTTTGCCCAAAATGAAAATGACATGGACCTCAAAAAACGGTATATATAGATTTATTGACTAATTCAGAGGTCGATCCTCTTCATAAATGGTCAATTATTTAATTTTCTTTAGTAATCTAAAATCTCTAATAAAACTTCTGGTAACGTCTATATGACCAAGTTATGAAGATAAAATTCTACTAAACAATAGTAAAATCTACCAAGCGTATTGCGACATTTATATTTTTAGAAGGTAGTTTCAAGAATGTTGTCTCAAGTTTCATTTCAATATCTCCACACACCCCACCCCCCAAAAAAAAAAAAAAAAACCCTTCAATGGTTTGCTTCCTTTTTTACAAAAAGTTTAATTGAATCTATCTTTTAAATAAGAAAATTTTCTGTTTACACTTGAAAACAACTTTTTTTTTTTTTTTTTGTATGTCTACAAGAGAAGACCAAGTCAAAAAATCAGAGCACAGCCGTAAAAATTCTTGTAAATAATGCAGTTTAGTGGGAAGAGGGGAACATCAAACATGTGGTCAAGTAGAAAAAATAAAGTTGTATCACATGCATTGATCAAAGTTGTACATTTCAAAAAGGGCACACCCATCTTCACCTCTTCTCTCTTATACAAGTTGCAACGTTACCTACTGTAAATCCAAAATTCATCATTCCTCACTATACCTAACCTTTTCCGACCATTTTGTGATATTTTTCTGTTACACTCGTGTGACACTCTTTACCGTTTTGATATTACAACAAAATTATAAGTGAATTTTGATTCATGAATATAAAACATTTTCATTTCGATTTAAAGTTTCTTTTTATTTATTTGGCCAATCCTAACAATGGTATCGTTTTCATTCTTGTTTTCTTCCCCCCAATTAAAAATTTGTTTTTACCATTAATTTATTCTGTGTTGGAGGGCCCCTAAATTTAGGAATTTGGACCTTCAGCCGACTCAAACAAGCCAACTTGGTTACAGCCACACTCTTTCGTATAATTATCATTTTTTATTTAATAATATTATCATTTTCCCTCAACATCCTTTTTTTCCATATCCATCCCCCTTCTTCATTCCATTTCTTCTTGTTCATTTCGCTTTTTTTTTTAGCAATTAGCTTTTCTCTTTGCTTCTCTGATTCTCTCCCTCTCATCTCTTCTTCTTCTTCTTCCTTCGGATTACCCAAAATCCCTGAAAAAAGGTGAGGAAGGAAAAAAATAAACCAAACAAAACAAAAGAAGGTAAGAATCAGGAGGAATTCCATGGCGCAGAAGAGAGATAAAGAAGAGACGGAGCTGAAGGTGCCGGAATCTCTTCCTCTATGCACGCCGACGATTCCTGTTCCCCAACCTCCTCCGCCTCAGCTCACCGGGTCAACCGATGATTCCCGATCTAATTCCGCCAGGTCGCCGGAGACCTCAGATCCGAACCGCGCTTCCGTCCAAGCTCGATCTCTGCCGGATCGATCGGATCTGGGTCAGTTAGAGGCGGATAAACAAGAAGGGACCTCCGTGGAGGTAAATCGGTCGTTGAAAAGGCCGAGGGAGGCTGCAGCGAACCGGTGTTCGTGCTCCGGCTGCCGGAGGAAGCTCGGGCTGATGGGATTCCGATGCCGGTGCGGAGATATGTTCTGTTTCGAGCATAGGTACACCGATCGGCACGATTGCAGTTACGATTACAAGGCCGCCGGCCGGGAGGCCATCGCTAAGGAGAATCCGGTGGTCAAAGCTGCTAAGATTCTCAAAGTTTGAACTCCACCAAAAAAAAGAAAGAAAAAATTGGATTCATCGTAATCAAGAAGATTTGATTTACAACAACAATTTACACGGACCCGAAAAAGCTTATTGAGTCAACTCAACTCAGATCAGCTCAGCTGGAAACGCCGGCGAAAGGGGGGGCGGGGAAAAGGGGTTGTTTAATTCTTATTCTATGTATTCCGGTGATTGTACGGGAGATCGGAGGGGAGGGGGTGGTTGTTTGTTTTCCGGTTGTAAATTTGACAGACGATTGAGGGTATTATTGTCACTTGAATTTCATTTTTACTTTATCATCATCATCATATTGATTATTGTGGTAGTGGAAATTTTTTCTTTCCTTTTTTTTTTTTTTCCTAGTCTTATTATTTGTTGATCAATTGATTTTAATTCTTTATTATTAGAAAGAAATATTTCTGAGTTTATCTTTTACATTTTGTAGGTGAATGAATCTCTCTCTATTATTGGGTTGGGTTGGGGAAAGAGGAAAAAATAACAAACAATCTAATTTTAATTAAAATTGGTCACATCGAAGGTGTAATATATAATGGTTTAAGCTGGTTGGAGAACATAACATGTGATTCTACGATAGCGTGTTGGCGTGTCAAATTTCGTCCCGTTCGTCTTTGGTGTTGGGGGATGTGGTGGGGTGCTGCCAAGATGGTTCCAATAGTCAACTACAAATGGACAGAATTTTTTTGTAATAGATATGCCGTTGCGGCAAATGAAGTGTTGGTTTAGTGCTAAAGTCATCCTTACTCGCATCATGAGTTCAAACCTTCACTCCAACATAAGTGATGATTTAGTGCTAAAGTCACTCTTGCTCGCAACTCACAAGAGGAAGTCATGAGTTCAAATCTTCACTCCAACATGAGTGAGGGAGCGACTCTAACTTTGTCAATTAGTACCTCTAATTCTCACTGTTATTTGTGCGGGGTTCCGATATTATATATATAAAAAAAAGGATATGCCTTCACAAATGTCTCCAAATAATTGTTCTATTTGAATTAAAATTTTGGTTCTCAATATATATCATAATTTTTGGAGAGGGAGTAATTATATTGAACGTGTACATATTAAACATTCTTCAGTTTGTATGGATTTGTTAGGCCTTTTTCGATTTTGCATGTTTTTTTTTTAAGAGAAACTTTACTTAAAACTTCTTCTCAATAGACCTATTTGAACTAAAGACTTGTTTTTTTATAGAGGGAAAAAAAATTCTTTTCCACATAAGAAATATTATCATGTTATTTTCTCTGTAAAGTAAGGATCTTGGGTTGTTTGTAGTTACAAATTGTTGTTCTACTTTTCCTTTTCAAACGTGTTAGTGACAGAACAAGAAAATTATACATTTCTCGAATTAGGTAACGTTTGAACTACTAGCCTCCAAAATGATGCATCACCGCTCTTTAAAATGGATGCATAAAAACAAATGGTTATGTTATTATAATTGTTTGAATTTTTGTGTGATCCGATTCCACCAATTGCATTCTATATATGCTAATCTCGGATCATCGCTTAAATATTAGAAGAGAATATGTTTTACTTCTGTCTCGGAAAAATAATTTATATTGAGTTTTGAGATTTCTTTACTTAGTTTTAATACAAATTTAAAACTTAATTTAGACTTTTTTGTGGAACAGAACAGAGGGAGTATTTTATTTATATATTTGAATGTTGTGAGCAAAAGAAAAGATCAAGGTGAAACACACATGGTCATGGATTTGGCAAGAATTTTGACTTCAAGTAATTGTTTGTATTTTGAGTCATCTACACAATGTAAGATTATTTGGTGTGCGTAGTAGATTGTTGAAAAGTAAAATGTCACGTAAAAAATTTGGAGAATGGTATATATAGCTTTGTCCATTAATTCTTTAAGAGGATTTGAATATATGTCCTGTGGCCTGTTGCTTAAAGTTTTTGTGTCACTTCTGTTATGGTTCATTCTCAGTTGAAACGATCTTGAAGTATAAAGTTCTTAATTAACAAGCCCTGATATCTTTTTTATCCCAAGAAAAAAAAAGTACTAAAAAATATACTTAGTTGATCATAAAATAATTGTGATGTTTATTGTAATAAAAATATTATTGTAACTAGTAGAACCATTATTTCAGAGCAGAATGAATATTTAAAAGTAATATACTCTTTTAAGTGTTTTATCCTGAAAAAAAAAAAAAAAGAAAAAGAAAAAGCCCAACATCTTAAAGGTTCCAGTCTTCGAGATTCTATATCTGCAGAAACCACCTCATGCTCTACATCTCCAAAATCCGACATGTTATTGAATTGCATAGTTTTGTTAATGGACGAGATGATTGGCCAAATCATTTGAGATTATTTCACATCTATAATCAGATGAGATGAGTTTCTTACACTCAATCACAACCCTTTAATTAATTGCATTTCCATCTATTTTCTCCTAAAGTATTCTACGGTCTACGTAAATCTTTAGGGTTTCTAGCACCATTCACTCAACTTTTAACATTTTCAATAATCTTTGTTCTTGGATTCCAAAACATAAATATTTTCCTTCTTGATGCAAATACATAGTGCGGTTTGTGGGGGGGAAAAAAAAAAAGGGTTCCTCTCTTCTCTTTATTTTCGTCTCCTTTGTTATCTTTTCTTTCTTACTTTTTTTTTCCAAGTTGAGGTGTCTTTCCACAGTGTTTCTGTTGATATGTGAAATGGTTACGAAGCAACTGATTACTCATTATTACTGCCTCCCTCACATTTAAGTCGTTTATTATTTTATTGGACTAGAAATTGAAATGGGACAGAACTATTAGTATTTTAGAGTTACAATCACACATGACAACCTTTCTCGTACCCCTGATTAATCCGTAGTTTTAGTAGCAAACTCCATCGACGGACATTGATCCAAGTAAGTTTAGAGATTTAGTTTAATAATTGTTTAAACATGTATTACTTTATCAAGTTTCGGTCGTAGGCACAAAATATACTACAACAATATGACATCCCTTTTACCCTATTAAAGTAGAATACAGAATGTTGATGTGACAATTTCTTATTAAAAATTTTTGGCTCTAAATGCACCATATTGCATTAATCATTCTGGCACGTGTCATCCTTTTTTAAAAGAAAAAAAAAAATCTTATCCGCAGAAACAAAAGTTACTTTACAAAAATAGCTACACAATTTTAACTCCTAACATTTATCATTTATCAATCAAATTAAAATAACATTTAAATTTGCCCAACTTATCCCGTGCATTACTCCACATTCTTTTGTATGATTTCTGCATCGTTGTACTTTTTAATATCTTTTCTCCTTTGGCAGATGATTTTTTTATTTTTATTTTTACTTTTGGCTAAAAAAGAAAAAAAAAACCAAATGTGTAGCTATTTTATTTTTTCTAAATCAAGAATTCATTTATCTATTAACACAAAATTAAAGTAGGGGGGCGCTCGGACATCTGCCTAGGCCAAACATCAAGTTATCTTTTAAAGAAAAGTGATTTCTAATCTTTATTATTATTATTACCCTTTACACAAACTTCGTTAGCAGTCATATTACTTATTATCAGGACGTCTAATAATTTCATACCACATAAACTTCTTTCCAAATATTTGTTACCCAGTAATTGAAACCATATCTTACTAAATTCAATTCTTTCTATTTGATGGGTTTAGAATTAATTAAATTATTAATTCCGTATACCTTTTTTCATAGGTGCTAAAACCCAAACAAAGAAAAAAGTAAACTCTTTTGAGTAAATTGTCACACTATGATTTTATTGGACATTCTGACAAATCATTTTATCGTCATATCCCTTGTATTATATTGATCCTTCAAGACTGGTATAGTTTTGTGACATGGAATTGACTAATTTCTATAACGGTTGAAATATCAAAGCAAATAAAGAGAAAAAAATTAAATACTCTCTCTGTCCTATAATTATTGTTCAGTTTGAGTTTTCGGCTCTAGTTCAAATTGTACTAAAAGTGAAATCTCAAACTGGACAATAATTTTGGGACAGAGGTAGTAAATTCAAAATTTTTATTTTTATTCTTCAACAGTTGCTTTAGACGGAGATCACGACTTTTATTACGTTTCTGGAATTTCCTAGTTATTATTGCATAATAACAATTTCAGCCCTCATTATTTTTAGTATATGACTTTTGTGACACTATTTTTAGTAGTCCGAAACACCTATGCGCAGTCATCATCAAGAACGAAGAATTCTCCTAAGGATACTACATGAGCATCCTCGCGATGTCGTTTATGCAGGTTGGTCAAATAATCAGCAAATTTAAAATTCGCTTAATTAAATTTACCATTCTTAATTAACTTTTTTGAGTTGGGTATCGTCCTCCTTCCTCTTCTTACAACTCTTACATATCAACTCTTACAACTTCCTCTCCTCTTTTTTCCTTCCATTGATTCGTCACTAAGCACAAGGATTCCCACTAAACATCCGTGGTTGAATGGTTAAACCGCTCAACTCATAATAGTCGACTTTGTTGGATGCACTCCATGAGACCCTTCAAGGAGTATGTTAAAATTGGATCTATGTCAATGGAATCATCATCCATACATAACCAACTGATGTGGTATGTTTGTAATATAAAACATGATCAGTTAGCAGTTAGAACTAGTATTCTATTCTTATTGAAGCCTGTTGACAGGGAAGAAGAAGAAATAAAGGTAGGATTTCACAATTTCTTCTATTATTTATGTTGACTTCGACTTCTTTTTTTTTTTTTTTTTCATATATATATACTGAGAAAGATAGAAGTTTGGATTACAAAATATCTCCGAGAGGTGAGAGATCAAAAGATGGGCAATCCAAAGCTAATTTATCTAGTACTAGTGTGGGGGTGTTACTAAAATATGTACCCCTTCGCGGGCTGAGTAGCCCATCTTAGCTAGGTGGTGTGCTACTTCATTTCCTTGCTTCTTCTAACTCTTCCAAAAAATTGAGAACTTCCTCTCCTGTTTCAATTTAGTTAGATTGGATCATTTAAGGCTCATTTCAAATAGCCTGGTGGGCTATAGCTCGTGGGCGTATTATATAATGCATCAAATGAATCAACACGTTTGTTGGGCTGTGTAGTAATATATAGTTGAGGCCAAGAAAATCATGGCTTCAGTTTCTAATTATCTTTTCTGGCTAGAAATAAATTATCTCTTACACAATATGCATAATTTACACAAGCTAAAGTTCTTGGATATCTCTTATATGGAAAATAGTGGAGATAGGATGAATGAAATATGTACATGATGATCATTCGGACCGTCTGCAAAGGTCGTCTGATTTTATTGTTGAACTTATTCTATTTCTGGATGAAGCAGCAAACAGATAAAAGCAGAAATCTCTATCCTCACCAATCATGATCCAATCCAAATCCCTTCTGGTCCTGATATGTTATTTTGAATGTTTCTGAGATGGGTCTGAATCTTGTCACTAATTCCTTAAGCAAATTTTCAAATGTTGAATTGCAGCAGAATTGAAACCTTACTGCAATGCCTTTATATTTTGCCTTTACGAGCATGTTCCCAGTTCGTTCTGTATCATTATTTCATGTATCATTATCTGTACCAGAGGAACTTGCAGATATGGATCCCAACGCTTCTACCACTAACCACCTCTTTCTCGGTTGCATTAAGATGTCCATTTTTCGGGTTCTCGGACAGATTCATCACCATTAACATCAAGGGACCAATTTGCCAGCCTTGGATTCGGTTGAATTTGGCCTACATTGCTTCTCTTGCGTGATGATCGCCACCTTTCGATACCAAAATTGCAACATCTACGTTTTAAAGATGACATGAGCATCAACAAGAAATCATATCAAAGAAAAGGTCTTGCTCATTCCCTAGTCCAGCAGCATTATCAGTCTCGGGGAACTCTCGGCCGTCTTTAATTTCGACACACTTGAGTAAACATGATTGTCAGCATTCCTGTGGAAGAATTCAACGTAGAATTTTTCTTTTTTGCTTTAACCTGAAATTAAACCTCATACTTCAAAAGTGTGTAAGCGAATTCAGACAACAAAGACGCCAACAAAACCTTTAGATCTTCATCACCATTTCCGTCTTCATCCGAGAGGAGGGATTTTGGTATGAACTAATTTTAAGGGAATCGCGAAA